GCAATGAAAGCAGTCTTAAGAGGGAAATTTATAGCAGTGAATCCTCACATCAGGAAAACAGAACAAGTACAAATGAACAACCTAATGTTGCACCTCAATCTTGCAGAAAAAGAGCAAGTCAAGTCCAAAGCCCATAAAATGGAGGAAGTTATAAAGATCAGAGTAGAAAAATTATATTGGAGACAAAGAAACAATACAAAGAATCAATGAATTGAAGAGTTGTTTCTTTGTAAGAATAAATAAAGTTGATAAACTCTTAGCCAAACTTATATAAAAAAAAGAAAAGATCCAAATTCATGGAATGAGGAATGAAAAGGGTGAAATCACTACAGATCCTGTGGCAATTCAGAAGATCATCAATACCTACTTTGAAAATCTTCACTCTCATAGAATAGAAAACACAGAAGAAAAGGACAGATACCTAGATATATATGAATTACCAAAACTGAATCAAGAAGATGTAGAAATTCTAAATTACCCAATATCAGTCAATGAAATTGAAAAGGTAATTAAAAACTAACCAACAAAGAAAAGCCCAGGTCCTGTTGGATTCACTGCTGAATTGTACAAGAAATTTAGAGAAGATTTAATACCAATAATCCTCAAACACTTTAATGAAATTGAAAGGAAAGCAATACTCCCTAACACATTCCTGAAGGCAGGTATTACCCTGATATGAAAACCAGAGAAAGACCCAACCAAAAAAGAGAGCTACCAGTCAATCTCCTTAATGAACATAGATGCAAAAGTCCTCAATACAATACTAGCAAAAAGAATACAGCAAATTATCACAAAGATTATACACAATGACCAAGTGGGATTCATCACAGGAATGCAGGACTGGTTCAACATATGCAAATCAATAAATGTAATACAGCATATCAACAGAGCCAAAGACCAGAATCACATGATCATCTCAATAGATGTAGAAAAACCTTTTGAAAAAGTCAAACACCTATTCACCATAAAAACCCTACAGAAAATCAGAATAGATGGTCTTCATCTCAATCTGATAAAAGCCATATATGACAAACCAATAGCCAACATCATACTAAATGGACAAAAACTGAGAGGTGTCACTCTATAATCAGGAACAAGACAAGAATGCCCACTATCACCACTCCTATTCCACATAACTAAAGAAACATTAGCCAGAGAAATTAGACAAGATAGAGAAATAAAAGGAAAAATGATGGAAAGGAAGAAGTCAAACTATCATTATTGCAGATGACATACTTTACATAGAAGACTCCAAAAACTCCACTAAAAACTGCTAGATTTAATAACCAAATTCAGTACTATAGCTGGATAGAAAGTCAACACTCAAAAATCATAGCATTCCTGCACACAAACAGCAAACTCACTGAGAGATAAATTAGGGAAACTACATCCTTCACAATAGCATCCAAAAACATGAAATACTTAGGAATCAGTCTAACAAAATAAGTAAAAGATCTTTGCAGTGAAAACTACAGCACTCTGAAAGAGGATATCAGAAAATGGAAAGATATCCCTTGCTCATGGATAGGAAGTACGAACATTGTGAAAATGGCCATACTTCCAAAATTGTTATACAGATTTAATGCAATCCCAATGAAAATACCATTAGCATACCTTACAGAGCTAGAGAAAATATTCCTAAAATTCATTTGGAACCAGAAGAGATCTAGAGTAACAAAGGCAATCTTGGGCAACAAAGGCAAGTCAGGAGGCATCATAATCCCTGATGTGAAATGATACTACAAAGCTACTATGATAAAATCAGCATAGTACTGGCAAAAAAAAAAAAAAAAAAAAAAAGACCTGAGGACCACTGGAACAGATTAGAAGATGCATGCACAACTACAAACATACTCAAGGTCCTTATCTTTGACAAAGGAACCAAACATATTCCTTGGAAGAAAGATAGCCTCTTTACTAAATGGTGCTGGGAAAACTGGCTGTCTATATGCCAAAGATTAAAACTAGATCCATGTCTATCACCATGCACTAAAGTCAAAAATGGATCAAGAATCTGTGTGTGTGTGTGTGTGTACTGGGAATTGAACTCAGGGCCTCATGCTTGCCAGGCAGGCACTATGCCACTAAGCTATATCCCCGGCCCCAGGGATCTAAATATTAAAACAGAAACACTGAAACTACTGGAAGAGAAAATAGGTAGAAATCTTAAAGACATAGGTGTAGGTAGAGAGTTCATGAACAAAACCCAGACTGCATGAGAAATACTTCAAAGAATCAACAACTGAGATCTCATCTTACTACAAAGCTTTTGCACAACACAAGAAATCACCAACAGAGTGAAAAGAACCCATGGAGTGGGAAAATATTTTAGCCCATTGTCCTTCAGATAAAGGACTTCTATCTAGAACATATAAAGAATTGAAAAAAATCAGACCCCCCCAATTGAAAGACCCAATCAAATAATGGGCACCTGAGATGACTATACACTTCTCAGATGAAGAAATATAAATGGCAAATAAGTAATGAAAAAAATGTTCAACATCATTGATTGTTCAAGAGATGCAAATTAAAACAACACTGAGATTTCATCTCACACCAGAAAGAATGGCTATCATCAAGAAATCAACCTATAACTAATGCTGGATGGGCTATGGGGAAAAGGAACTCTTCTCCACTTTTGGTGGCAACCAAAGTTTTGGTAGACTAGTGCAACCACTATGGAAATCAGTATGGAGAGTACTCAGAAAGGTAGGATTAGAGGTTCCATTTGACCCACATGTTCCCCTTCTGGGTATCTTCCCAGAGGAATTAAATACATCATACCACAGCGATATATGTGCTCCCATGTTGATAGCAGCACAATTTGTAATAGTTAAGTCTTGGAAACAACCCAAATGCCCATCAACAGAAGAATGGATTATAAATATGTGGTAGTTTTATACAGTGGAGTACTACTCAGCCATACAGAAGGATAACTTGAGGCTTTTATAGGTAAATGGATGCAACTTGAGACCCTACTCATGAGTGAACTAAATCAGACTCACACGAGTAAACATCATATTGTCTCCCCAGTGTGAGAATTTAAAAGAGTAAATAAGGTCTAAAATGTACAATAGATATTGTAAAATGGGAAGAAATTGTTCAAAAGAAAAAAGCAACTAGGATAGGTAAAAGGGGAAAGTACAGTAGGGAAAAGGGAAAAAGTGCAAGTCACTTATACTATTTGTGTCTCTTAGTTCATTAAAAAGGAAAGTTTGTGCCAATATTGGAGAAATTTTTAATGCCCATATCTTGTACCCTGAGCAACTACTTTAAAGATAACAGCATGTAATGTATATACATTGTTACTTTCCTGTTATTTTATTGAAATTTTGTTTTACCTTTTTTCCATAAAATAATAAAAAAAAAAGCAATAGTTTTTGCATGGAAGAAAATGATTTTTAAAGTTAATCTTAAAACATTTTTGTATGTTATAAAATATATTTTATTCAGTGTTAAATATTATATATTTTTAAATTTTAATGATATGTATGTAACAAGTAGGTTGCCTATAATTAGGAAACAGGTGGAGATGAAAATGCACAGAATGTTAACATTTGGGGCCAAATACATAAATGAGTCTTCATGCAAGAAGTATAAGAGAAACACAGATCAAAGATTCAGAAAAGTTTCATCTTTTTTTTAAAGAAGCAGTGCAGACTTTATGCCCCAAATCACTGACACTAATGCTTCATATAAAAACCAGATAATAAATAAATACCAGATAAAAACAAGCAATTTTATGCTTTAAACTAATTTGTTAGCCAGGCATGGTGGTGTACGCCTGTAATCCCAGCATTTGGGAGGCTGAGACAGAAGGATCATTGCAAGTTCAAAACTAGCCTGGGGTACAAAGTGAGCTCAAGGCCACCCTGAGCTGCATAGCGAGACTCTGTCTGAAAAAGACAAAAAAGAAGAAAAGAAATGTAAAACCATTTCGCCGTTTCCCTAAGGCACTTTCCATTGCAACTCGGTCTGTCTCAGAGACACTATGCCTTTCTATACTCACTTCGTAAGTAAGACTTCTGGATAATCTGCATAAGAAGAGAGGCAATCCCCTTCTTAAACCTCTACAGTGTTCGCTGTAAATTGTACTTATTCCTGGCTAATACACACTCTCAGTGAGTACTGTATCCCATTTATTTTGTAATACATTTTCCCCCCAAATCTTTAGCCTTCCTTTAAACAGAAAGTTTGTAATTGAACTTTACAAAAATACTGGACCTTGAAAAGTGATTAGGGTCAGAATCTAATAGTTTGCAGTTACTGCGTAATTCAATTTTAAAATTTTATTTTATTTTTATTTGCTTTCAAAGTTTTTCAAAAAGGACAAATTTAAAGAATTTAAACCAGTCCACGCACCAATTTTCTGGTGAACCAAGACTGAAGTTTAAAGAACTAAAGAACTGATTGAAAAAAATCTGCGGTCACAAGTTCCTTGAAAACCAGAGAGAAGACCTCACAAAACAATGTCTTGTTCCCAGTGAAATGGATCCTTCCTTTATCTACTGTCAGGCAATGAATTGCTGTTCTGCTTAAGACTCCTGACTCGGATTTCGACTTGTCATTATGTTCCTTAGAGAAAGGTGTCTGCGACTCTTCACCTTCGGAAAAAGAAAAACAGAGGAGAGAATCCACTCTTCAGGAGGCCCAGGGACAGAACTGAAATGACCCCGCAGGCTGGACGAATGGGGGCGAGTCCCTGCTCACGCTGACTCTAAAGAAACGAAACAAAAGAGAAATCAGAATGCAGCCAGGACCAGCCTTGATCTTCTCCCGGGGACTCTCTAGAAAAGCCCCAAGGAAGCGCTCCCTTGGCAGCAGCCCTCGGACCTCCAGACCGTCGCACACGCTGAAGCTGCCGGTGTGCTCGGCCTCTGCCTCGCACGCTTCCCACCGCCGCGATGCGGGTGGCAGCTGTGCTCCTGCTCCTCAGCGCCGGCTGCACGGCCGCCTTGCTCTGCTCGCCCACCGTCTTCTACAGAGACTGCTGGATCCGACGCTTCCCAGGCCTCCTTGTGGACCTGGAGGAGTCACAGAAGCTGGGAGCCCGGTTCTTGAAATACTATTCTGAGACCACTGGACAGAAGTGTAGCAGGAGCTGCTGCCTCAGGAAGGATGGTAAGAAGGAGATGCCGGGGCCAAAGTCAGGGCGCCGCTGAGGAAGGTGGCGGGGAGCCCAAGGGCCGCTGGGGCGCTGTGGGCTGGACGTGAGCAGGTCGCTTACAGGTCTAGGAGTGTCCGGAGTGCTGCAGAACCTTCAGGAAACACAATCCTCTTTTCTTCAGAACATGCTAAATGAAAGCCTTTCCTTCCGAGCTAATGCATATTTTTATAACACAAAATGCTATGTGTATGATTTTTAAAATGTGGGATGTATTGAACAGGATCTTACAATGTTTTGAAAGATATAGAGAGTTATATATAAAGCAGCAGAAAAGTTCTTATTGATCACTTTTTAAAAATTTCCCTAATAAATTCTTTTCTGTAATTTGGATCTGAGTATAACCTTCATCCGTTTAATATGCTCAAGCCCTCAACTAGTAAAGCTTTTCATTGCTGCAGAATTTCACGTCATAATGACCTAAAGATCTATGTTTCAATTTTGCCATGATTTTTAAGACAACTTGGAAAGACACAATAAAAACAACACAGCACTTTAAAGTAGTTCTCTTCGTTGTTTCACACCTTTTTTTTGTTGTTGTTGTTTGTTTGTTTTTCTCTGGTACCAGGAACGGAACTCACGACCTTGCACTTGCCAGGCAGGCGCTTTGCCGCTGAGCTAAATCCCCAGCCCCCACACCTTTTTTAAAATGATTTGATACCAACTTTTTAATCACAGTGCCTCTTATCCAATTACACATTTACAATTTCTTTTTTATTTTAAAGAGAATACAAGAAAAACTACAGAATCTTAAAACAAGATGGTAGGAAATTAACAATGGTTGTTATATTGCATATTATCTTCGAAGTAGTTGCTCAGATTACCAGATATAGGCTGCAAAATTGATCAAACAATTAAGCATTACCTGTTACTTTCAATAAACTAATAGAAATTAGTAGTACAATTATCTTAGCTATCATATAGATATATTTTTCCCCTTCCTTCTTTTCTCTTTTCCCCTAACCCAGTTGTTCTTTCATACTGAGCAGTTTATTTCCCTTTCACAATGTCAGTTGTACCTTTTGAAATTTATTTACTCTTTCATTTTCTTATACTAGGGAGACAATACGATGTTTACACATGTGAGTCTGATTTATTTCACTTATGAGTATAGTCTGTAGTTGCATTCATTTACCTATAAAATTCTCCAGTTTATCTTTCTTTTTAGCTGAATAATACTCCACTGTATAAAAACACCGGATCTTTTTTATCCATTCCTCGGTTGCTGGGCATTTGCCTTATTTCCAAGATTTAGTTATGACAAACTGTGCTGCAATAAACATGGGTGCACATGTATCACTGTGTACGATGTTTTCAGTTCTTCTGGGAAGATAGCAGGGGAATAGCTGGGTCAAATGGGACCTCTAATCCTAGTTTTTTGAGGAATCTTCACCTGATTTCCACAGTAGTTGCACCAGTTTACACTCCCATCACATTTACAGTTTCTGAGGTGAAACTTCAAGCTGCTTGGAGAGAAAACTAAACTGTCAGGGTACCACACTGTGAGGAGCTGACCCAGGCCAAGTGCTCAGTAGTTAATTAGGCAAAAAGACAGAAATTAATTTAATAACAAGGAATCTTTTTGAAAAGACAGTCAATTCAGACTTCCACTTTCCACGTGGCTCTAACTCCTGCAAGTCTTTGCTCAGGTAGGTGTGGGAGGGGCAGTACTTTTTCTGAATTTCCCTATGGTCTGAATTCACCTGATTCTGCACACCAGAGAGGCTATGGTCTATGGATTTTCAGGGCTGCTGTAAACATCTTTAAAAGTTCGTGACCTCTGAGCCTCTATGGCTCCCGGTGGCTTTATTCCTTCACAACAGGAAAGGGCAAGAGAGACATCCCAGTTTTTTCCATGGGAGCCCAAATTTTAAAATGCACAATCCTGCTCCGAGTTGTAACTCTGATATGTACAGAAGGAATTTAAAACATCTTTTAAAATTGTGCTTTATATCCCTGGTGTAGTGGTGGATGCCTGTAATCCCAGCACTAAGAAGCCAGAGCAGGAAGACCATGAGTTCAAGGCCAGCATAGGCTACATGGTGAAAGCCTTTTACAAAGCAAAACAAAGTGCTCTTTACAGTATCAACTACTTTCGTATCATAAAATCAAATACCTTAAATTTATTTAAAAAAAATTTACTTTAAAATTTTATAGCATAGCCCTCAGAAACTATATTTGTAATCTTAATATGTTAGCAATCCTTTTTTGTTGTTGTTGTTGTGTTATTTTTGTATTTGAAATTGATCCTCTGAGCTATATTCCAGCCATTTTTGTTTTGTTTTGAGATCTCATTAAATTGTCCAGCCAGTCCAGCCTCAAACTTGCAATTCTCCTGCCTCAGCCTCCTGAGTTGCTGGGATTACAAGTGAGGACCACTACACCTGATAGCACTGTATTATTAATTAACTTTTGTCCTATTCTTTCTCCTCCTGGAAAAACTTAATATTTTTTGAGACAGGGTCTCACTATGTAATTCAAGCTGCCCTTGAACTCATGGTGATCCTCCTGCCTCAGCCTCCAAAGGGCTGGGATTATGGGAACATTCCATCATGCCAGGCCTTCCTTCTGGAAAAATTAAGCATGCAGAAATATGAGGTTGCACTAGAATGAATGTGGAGATGTAGCTCCCCACTGTCACCCTGACACCAGCATAGGACAGCTTGTGAAGCCCCAGTTCCACAGCCACTGGCCCATGTGCATGGATCTGGTAATTACTCGATTCCTGTCTAATCTTATTTTATGAAAGAACCTGATACCTTTGGCCTATGGATACATTGCATGGTTCTGACTGCAAGCTGCAGGAGTAAGATTATGTTGTGTTTTAGGGAGCATAGATTGAAGATTTGCATCAACAAATTTGACCTCAGATACTCCAAAAACAGCAACATGCTTTAAAGGAGCAAATCTGCCTGAAAAAGAGATAGCACGAGCCAGTCCTATGTGTTCCCCACACTAGAATTCCAGGGCGACATCCTGGTGTAGTGGCTATATCCCAGCCAGTTTTGTTTTGTTTTGACTGGTAAAATCTGTCTTATCCACCTCCTTCAGTGACCCTGGGCTGACGTTCTGTGGGGTGTTGCTTTGCACACAGAGTCGGTGTACATTGTATAGGGGAACTGGGCTTCTCCCTGTAAACTTTAAAATTTTATAGTGTAGCCCTCAGAAACTATATTTATAACCTGTAATATATTAGCCATGCTTTTTGTTGTTGTTGTTGTGTTATTTGTGTATTTGTCACTACACTCTTTGGCCTTTCCATTATTCCCTTTTATTTCATTACAACACCTGCCCTCCATTTTCCTATATCTTCTGGTGGCTTCCAGAGCTGTAGCATTCTGAGAGGGCATTGCATGAGAAATCTGAGGTATACACTGCCAAAGTTTTCTTTAGTCAATTTTTCATGAATGTAAAATACTAGTAACAGAAAATGATTCCATGTATGCTTTGTGGAAAGGAATGTGTGAAAATTATTCAGAGAAAATCAGTAACTGCTTTCTTTTCCTTTTCCCCTTCCTTTCCAGTACTGAGGATTAAACCCAGGGAGCACTGAGTTGTACCCCCAGCCCTTTTAAATTTTATTTTGAGGTAAAGTCTCATTAAATTGTTCAGGCTGGCCTTAAACTTATGATCCTCCTGATCAGCCTCCTGAGTGCTGGGATTATGGGCATGTGACAGCTCCCGGCAGATGTTTTTTGTTTAAAAAAGTAATTTCTTATATTCAGTTACTAGAGTTTATAATGTTCCATGAAATGTCTACACACATCCCTGTACGTTAGTGTAGATCCAGTGTTCCTGAAGGAAATGTAGTTTGCTCAGTGCTCATCAGACTGGTGGAACTGGAGGTCACCTCAGGTGTTCTGTGCCTCTTTCCTTTCCAGTGTCCTGTAACTTGGCTGTCTTCTTCCATGACCCTATTCATGACAATGTCAACTGCCTCCACATCCACTGCCCAACTCTAGAGAGTTGCATACTGGAGCCTGGAACCAGTGCCATTTTGTACAACATAACAGAGGGTAAGATGATGTACCCCGGGCTTCTGAGGATGTTGGTAGTACTCTCGTAGAGGAGATAACCTAGAAACTGGCTTGAAATATTCCTGTTTGTATCCCTCAGAGCTCTTCCAGTGACTTCTGTTGGGAACTGGTTTGGACATCCAAGCCAAAACAGTGGAGAGAAATTCCCTTTAGTGTGGCACATTTGGCAGTGATGAATTCATTCCAGATGACAGCAAGTCAGATGCAACTGAATAAGAGCTTAAGCACTGAATTTTATGAGCACTCAGCAAAAGCCAAAGTAGGCATTTCTACTGCAGCAGCCGAGGGTGTCATCACAAAATAAAGAAAATGCTAAGTGACAGTTTTGATGTCTGTGCACAGTTCATTCACAGATTCTACCACAGTGGAAGTCAAGGATCAGTACAGTTAGCCTGGACATACATCAGCGTCTCACTGGTCCCAAGATAGCCAGTGTGTTTTATTATAGAAAAAAATACAGCTTTAAGTGATTTTTGCTCATGTACACAAGTCTTAGAATGAAAATTTGTGAGCATAAAAAGTAGACTTGCCACCAAGCACAGGAGATAAATTTCTTTATTTATTTGTGTTCATTGAATATATAACATTCTAGGTTGGACTTGACATTGCGGAACATTGCAGCTACATCTGTGCAGCTATGTTCTTTATGCTCTTGTTGATGTGACATCTCATAATTAGTATCAAACGGAAATACAAAAATGTGGGATAGTGCCTCAGTGCAAAAGCAAATGCAAGCTTACAGGGGCAAACCAAGGCAGAAAGGAAATGGATGTTGGCTTGCTTTCCCAGAGAGATAAAGACTGATGGTTTGTTTGCTAACAGGGGTCATTGGAAAGCTGTTCAGAGTTTTTCTTCCTCAAAACAAAGCTGTTCTGTGGCTTGTCTAAAGTCGAAGGAAAAGAGTTAGTATACAAGAAGATAGAAAATATCAAACTTGCGAGATGAGACAGAAGGATTTAGAGTTGGAGGCCAACCAGGGCTACACTAGTGAGGCTTTGTCTCAAAAAAATAAAAACAAATAAATAAGACATGGGCTGGGGATTTAGCTCAGTGGCACAGTGCCTGCCTGGCAAGCGCAAGGTCTTGAGTTTAATTCCCGGTACCGGAAAAACAAACAAACAAACAAATAAATAAATAAGACAAAAATATGAGAAAATACTAAAACAAAGCAGGACCCTCAGGGACTGGAAAAGGATGAGGTTTAAGGCTTTGTTCTAGATTGAACAGTTTTCCTTTTCAGGCTTATTTATTCAACTTTGTTTTAAAATGTTGTACCATATCTTACATGGTGACTGCTTATATAGCTCTCATACTAACTTTCAGGATGGTTTTGCAGAAGCCCTGGCACACACAGTTGTCTTCTCCTTGGGTGGAGTCCAAGTTATTCACAGCAGAAAGTATCCTAAGAAGTTAAGATAAATTCAAATGTAGCCAGTATCCATCTATCTTTTTCTTTCTTTCTTTCTTTCTTTTCTTTCTTTCTTTCTTTATTTTTTTCTTTCCTTCTTTCTTTCTTTCTTCTTTCTTTCTTTCTTTCTTTCTTTTCTTTTCTTTCTCTTTTTCTTTTTCTTTCTTTTCTTCTTTCTTTTTTTCTTTCTTTTTTCTTTCTGTTTCTTGCTTTCCTTCCTTTTTTCTTTATCTTTTTCTCTGTTTCTTCCTTTCTTTCTGTAGTTTCTACATGTTTCTAAGTCTTTCAGAAGCTTGCAGTGGTAGAACTTGAATTTAGTTAAATAACTCTTAGTGGCAAAACTCAATATTTCTCCAAACTGTGCGTGAGGTTTTTCCTTTGAAATTAAAAATAAAATGAATGCTATCTTATTTGTCTTTCAGGTATAGATCCAGATTTGCTGGTTTTTGGACAATCACGTCCTATGTATCTACATACTCGTTCTTCATCTGATAGGTGGGACAGACTCAGGATTCTAAAAGCTATGAGTTTATATGATACACAACAAGCTACCAAAATAAACCATGTACTGCCCACAGTAGAGGCTCCATCATCAACTACACCTCAAGATTTGGTTGAAAACAGAAACAATACAATTTCTCTGAAGGAACTCACCACAGATTTGGGGACAAGGTTCATTTCCCTGAATGACTCCATTACCACCAAGGCAAATATGGTGTTACCAAGTGCTAACTTCATCAGTAGCCCATTTAACAAGACTATTTCTCCTTTTATTGTGCCCACAGACACAAAACATCCTCATATGCAGGTTCCACCCCAACCTAATAGTAGCAAACAATTACTGAACAAAACCAAGGAGTACAACAGTGGAAACCACACATCTGAGAATGATAATGAGTCATCGGATGGGGCATCTGTGACTTCCAAGACCTGGCTGGCTTTTGTGGCCTTATGTATCTCCCTCATCTTTCTTTGCTGTTGTGTTCTTTGCTATTCAAGGCAACAGGGCCAGTATAAATTAGGACAGAAAACCAGGATCCAGGCAGAGTAAAAAAATGTAATATGCTGAAGGTGAACTCTTAAAAATTGTAGTGCGATTATAAGTTTTTAAGGGTTTCATTTTCAGTTTTCTGTAAGACAATGGAAGTTTGGTTTAAAAATATGGGATGCCTGTTCCTACCAATCTTACAGAAGCCAATGCTTAACATAACGGCTTTCTTGGCTATTTCTATTGTTATCATGTTCCCTTTGCCAAGGTTCCAGAAGTCAGAGCCTGTAGGTGTTATTGAGCACCATGTGAATCACAATTGAGCTGTGTTAACTGATTGTATCCATACAGCTCTCTGGGTTAGGTGTATTACAGACAGTTAGGTTACATAGAAATATTATAGCATCAAAGATGGCTAGGCCTGAATGAATCAGTGCAGAAAATAACACAGTACAATTGTGAGTGGAGGTGCATTTGTTGAAGGCCTGGTCTCAAGACAAAGATGGAATTGTTACACCTACATATTTCTCCGAGGGATAAACAATAATAATGGATATCCTAAATAGGCATCAGTCACCTAAATAGGGGACCAAAACTTCTTTGATCCATCTCTTCCAGGAAAGATCCTTGTTCTTGCCCTGTACACTTGCTATGTGATATGCTTCCCCACTGAATCAATATTTTTGTGATCTTATTGGTGGCCCACAGTTTTGTCCCACCTTGTATCCACCTTGTGATTTTGCATCGACCTCATGATTTTGCTCTACACAACTTCCTTTGAAAAGTGGGCACGTGGGGAATCTACTTTTCAGGTCCCCTCTTGTCTCTCTTAGGCAGGAGCGGTCTTTCCCTCAATAAATATTTTCTACTCTTAACCTCCTTTGTTTCTCAGAATTCATTCTTCAGTTTTGGGGAACATGAACTCAGTATATCAGAAATCTAGCAGGTTGGGAGTTATAATATTTCCCTTATATCATTTGGAGATCTTATATCATTCCTATAACAGGTGTACTATTACTATTGCATGATATCAAACTGTTATGCTTCTTATTCCTGCCATTTACAGATCAGGAAACAGGTAAAGAGGGGGTAAGCATCTTGTCTGAAGTCACACAAGTAGTGAAGCCAGGACCTGAATGTAGATGATTTAGTTCAAAAGCCCATGTTCAAAACTACTGTTAGACTAAGAGCCTCTGCTTTTCCAGTAAACATGAAAAAGATGCCAGGAAGACAACATTATAATATAATCAGGTATGCCTCCCAGTCAAGGTCCCATTATTGTCATATGGAGTAATCATTTAGTGGTTTGGGCAAAAAAGCACTATCACAATTACTAAATCATAAACAAATGCTTTCTGCTTTTTATGTTCAATTGATTAAGCTTTCCCAATCCCATTCCTCTTATTTTCTAAAGCAGAGGGGTATTTCAATTAATCATGTACTGAGCTCTTTGAGATTTTTGTGTTGATTTCTTTAAAATAAAACTTGGGAGATCTTGTTTACTTCCTTCACTTGTACACAGTTTTCTCAGATGTAAAAACTATCTCCAGGTATTTCAACTGTGTCCCAATCTTACACCAGACTTATCCTCTAAATCATATGCTGAAGCCTTTTAAATATAGAATACTATATTTCAAGTCTGTAATGATCTCAAATTTTAGGTCCTTCACCTCACTTCTGAAAGATAGTAAACATAAAGAATACACTAAGGAAAATCCTGTTACAAGATTAATAAAATACTATGGTTTTCTCAGATGTTAAATCAAACTGTCCAGTGGCTTAAAAGATGTTTCTTTCCCTAAGTATTGATACTAGGTAGAAAAGAGGTTAGCTGCTGGGGATATAGCTGAGCGGCACAAGTGCCTGACTGGCAGGCGCAAGATCCTGAGTTCGATTCCAGTACCAAAAACAGAAAAAAGGAAAGAGGTTAGCTATTTTTTAATATAAAATATATGTACAAAATCATTGTCAGTAGACTATAAATCACAAATAAAAACCTGGGGGTCTTTGGACCGGCGACTCACTCCCGGCCTCGTGGTTCCCCGGAAGGAGGGCTTCGGGCGCACAGGGAGCCGTGGGTGGGGAGCGCCAGCCTTCTGGCTGGCTAGCTTCCTGCCTGCTGGCTCCCGGAGGGTGGGCCCCCGGCACACGGGGAGCCTCGGTCGGGGAGCGCTGGTTTTTTGGGTTTTTGGACCGGCGACTCACTCCCGGCCTCGTGGTTCCCCAGAAGGAGGGCTTCCGGCACACAGGAAGCTGCGGGTGGGGAGCGCCAGCCTTCTGGCTGGCTAGCTTCCTGCCTGCTGGCTCCCAGAGGGTAGGCCCCTGGCGCACGGGGAGCCTTGGGTGGGGAGCGCCGGTCTTTTGGGGTCTTCGGACCGGCAACTCACTCCCGGCCTCGTGGTTCCCCGGAAGGAGGGCTTCTGGCACACAGGGAGCTGCGGGTGGGGAGCGCCAGCCTTCTGGCTGGCTAGCGTCCTGCCTGCTGGCTCCCAGAGGGTGGGCCCCCAGCACACGGGGAGCCTTGGGCGGGGAGCGCCGGTCTTTTGGGGTCTTCGGACCGGCGACTCACTCCCGGCCTCGTGGTTCCCCGGAAGGAGGGCTTCCGGCACACAGGGAGCCACGGGTGGGGAGTGCCAGTCTTCCAGCTGGCTAGCTTCCTGCCTACTGGCTCCCGGAGGGTGGGCCCCCAGCACACGGGGAGCCATGCGGCGGCGAGTGCTATTGCGCGCCGGCCCTTAGCCCGGCCGCCACCGCTCACTTGGGATCTATCATGACACAGAGAAACAGTGACACAATTGGCCCACCATGCACCAACTGCAATTGCCCATGCACGGATGTGTGTGAATCATTGAAACTTTGAACAACCCTGGGAATATATGCCATACAACGGGCTACTCTTGCTCCTGCCGTTGGGAACAAGAAAGGTCCAGAGCCAGCAGAGGAGCAGCTGCTGAACAAGGACTCAGAGAACATGAGAATGCAGACTAAGCCCACGGAGTCAGAGGTCCAGTGGACTGGGGTCATGCGAGCCACTTGGAAGCTGTAAACCAGGAGGACCTTGCACAATACCTGCAGAGACTCACTGGAAGCCATTCTTCCCCTGACAGTACAGGCTGTGGTGAAGCTCTGGAGAAGTCTGCAGCAGGATTCCTGCTGCCTGTGCTGACAGTTGGGGAGAGGACACTAACTGGTTGTGGGGTCCCAAAGCAATGGGAAGCTGGAGAGAAAAAGCTACAAAGAATGGCTTTCACCCCAGACAGCTCACTTGAGATGTTAGTAAGAATTGCCTCCTCAGTATTCTATAGCCATGATGAAGAGGAGGCCAAGGAGAGAAAGCAAAGAGACCGAGAAAAAGCAGCTGCTTTTGCTGCACCACTAAGAGAAACAGATCCCAGGTCTGATTCCTGGGGCTCCAAGAAGAACTCGACAACTGCATTCATCGGCTACCACTGTTAAAAGCCAGGCTACCTCAAGAGGAACTGCCCTAAGAGGCCCCATGGGCCATGCCCTGGATGCAAAGGAGACCACTGGAGATCGGTCTGCCCTCTGAGGTGGAGGCCCCAGAGCTCAGACCCATGCTACCAGTTAGTCCAACAGGAATGAGAGGGCTTGGGGCATGGTCTGCCTTCTCCCTCTGGCCAGACTGTCATCTCCATCGAGGAGTCCTGGGTAATCATGACTATGGAGGAACAAGAAAACAGCCTGTTGCTAGTCACAGGTGCAAGTCTCTCAGTGCTTCTTTTCAATCCTGGCCTTCCTTCCAGCCATCATACCTCAGTGAAAGGAGTCACTGGTGAGGAGGTAATATGCTATTTTTGACAACCCTTAGGCTGTAACTACTTATTAGATCCTTCTTGCATATCTCTGTCTTCCTGAGAAACCACTTTGAAGATACCACCACATATTACAGCAGCCATTGATATTTTCCTACTAATCTATCCATAACTGTGTTAAGTTTGTAATGTTCCTATCCTATTTCATAACGTATGTTTATTATTATGTGTTTCCTACAACAACCATTGAGAATAGTTAATGATTTTTCAATAGGTCACTCATGTACAGCTCTATTTATTTTCTTTAGAAGCCACTTTGAAGATACCAAAGTATAGCACAACAACTCTTGATAATCTCCTACCTCTTTTGTCTCTAACTCACTATTATTTGTCTATTTGTTTTCCTGAGAAACTATTTTGTAGATAATATGTAAAACGATAACCATTGATAATTTCCTACCATTTTGTCTGTAATTTGCTAAGTCCCCCCTATTATTATGTTATCCTTCTTTTATTCTTTAAAATAAAAAAAATAAAAAATAAAAACCTGATTTAAAAGTTTTATCTATTTACCTTAATCTGCTAATTGGTTATAATATTAAGTATCACGAATTTTATTGATTTCTTTCTCATTGCATTAGAGGAAATTCTTCTACTGATCTGTGGAGGATATGAAAATTTAAATTATCATAAAATCATTGTTATTAATTTATTTTTTACAGTACAGTCTTTTCTTGTTTAATGACTGAGTTCCATGCCTGGGGCAAGGTTGTTAAATGAATGAGTCACTAAATAAGGAATTATAGATATTAAGTGCATTACAATGTTAAAATAAGGAAATGGTCAAAGAAAATTCCAGTGTGATGACTTTGCTTTTATTTGCATAACTCTTACATGCAGTACTTTAGTGTATAACACAGCATAAAACTATAGTACTGTACTGTATTGCACAATATAATCAGCAAAAATTACAGTACTATATAAACAAGGTGTACTGTACCAAAAAAGAAACTGTAGAAAAATAAAAGACATTTAAGCTAACATTTTAGTCATTGAATCCTTCAAATTCCTCATCAAAATTATAATCAGGAGATGTAGAAGGCCAAGGTAAGGGAGAAGATAAAATAGAAATGAAAGAACTAGTAGTAGTAGAGGTTAGGGGCATAGCTTTCAAGAAAAGTGGCCTGTTTTGTCATTTTCTTTTTGCTTCATAAACTTCCTGACAGCATCACAAAAATTCACTCATTTTCTGTTCCACTTTGACGAACTGTTCAACATTCTGATCCATATCCTCTAGTTCTATCACAGTTGCATTCACTTCTGAGAATGTACTGTAGACAGTACACTCACTGGGAAATCTGTGGGGGTTTCATGCATAGAATCAAATACAGAAATAAAGAAAGCCACCAGCCACCATAAGGCCATGCCACCACTCATGTCCCTGTGTATTGTCTGAGTGAAGGCCAGAAGTCCAAGTAGTGGGTTGTAAGTCTGAACAGTCATTAAACAGGTAGGTCATTAAATAAGGACTGTCTCTATTGGGGTTTGAACCCAGGGTCTTGACTGTGCTGAGCAAGCCTCCTACTACTGAGCTGCATCCCTATTGCTGTTTTTTATTTTTTATTTTTTGGCAATGCTGGGAATTGGATCCAAGGTCTTGTAAATGCAACTGCTCTAATATGGAGCTAAGTTCTTGACTCCCTAAAATTATATTTAAATAATTCCAGAAGCAATCTTTGCAAATTATTTGTACATTCATTATTTTGAAAAAAGTATTTACTTGTAAGTATGTGTGATAGTTAACTGATTGTGTCAACTTGAATAGGAAACCCCCAACTAAATTGGATTAGCATAGTTCTGGGTGTGGCTGAGGGGATTTACCATGTTAGGTGTGCGTGACAGCAACCAAGAGGCTCATTGCCTGAATGGAATAAAAGAAAAGGGAAGAGGAAAGGCTCACTTTTGTTTTGTTTCATAAGAAGAGCTCCTGTCTTTACCTTCACTGTGTACGTTGTCTCCTGGCTTTCAGCACAAGCCCTTTGTCCTTCTAATACAGACTTCTATGCGAAACTAGAGTGAGCTTTAGACCTTCAACTGGATCCCTTGGCTCTCCAGCACACAGACAGCCCTTTTGCATTTTCCAC